ATGTTATTTAGAAATATGGAGGGAAATTCCAAAAGAATGAACTAAAACCACTGAAAGTAGTTGCCTCTGGGGAAAGAAATGAAGAAGAGGACTTTTTTTAGCATGGCCTTTATAAATTATAGAACTACTTTACACTTTAAATTATGTACACTGGTTTAAAAAAAAAAAGAGAGCCCAAGCTCTTGCCCAGTAAACCTGTGTTTTTCAAATTATATGACTCATTCATTACTGGGTTGTTGTGAAATCAATTAGTAAATCACAACCATAATTTTTTTAATGAATTCAAACAGAAAGGCATAAAAAATAAGAGATAAGTTGTACATAGTTAAGAGTGTTTTTTCATGAACCTTTATAATACTCATACCCCCACATACAGGTTCATAATATAAAATGTATTTTTAACTGTGGACTGTCATCAAATAATTGTAAAATCACCACTCTAAACTACATTGCATTACAATTACTCTTAGTCTTGTTTTTTAAATATTTCAATGTGCCTGTATTTCAAACAAATTGAAAATGTTGACAGCTAATGAAAATAATCCATTATAATGCTCTTTATAATTCCACTAATAACATGCCTGAAGAACGGTTACTCTTGTATTAGTGAAACCTAAATATTCTTTCCTTTCTTACAATTAACTCTGTAATATAGCCAGAGAGACAAGTAGCAACACAGAAAACAGAATTCAAAGTCCCACAACTGATTTTATAATGTGGAATATTACTGCTTCTTAGATGATCTTTTTTATTTTGTGTGACTTTCAATAATATTTAAATTTGTGATCTAGAGAGACACTTGAGCCACAGGAACCATCCTAAAAGCCTGGAATGGCAGAAGAAGGCTGCTTGGGAAAAAAAAAAAACTTGTCATATACATAGGTTGAGTATCCTTTATCCAAAATGCTTGGGACCAGAAGCATTTCTGATTTCGGATTCTTTTCGGATTTTGGAATATCTGCATTATACACTTACTGACTGAGTGTCCCTAATCCAAAAATCCAAAATCCAAAATGCTCATTGGAACATCATGTCATTGCTCAAAAAGTTTGGATTTCAGCACATTTTGCATTTCAGATGTTTGGATTAGGTACACTCAACCTATAGTGCATAAACTAGAAAACATAAATGCAATTGACCAAGAAGAAACTTTCTTCCGCTGACTCTCCCTCATATACTTTGCAAGGTACACTGTTCACCTTTGCAGTACGTAAAAATTAGGCAGGAAGCTAAAAACTCTGATGTTCTTTTTCTAAGAGCCCATTATTTAGGCCAACATTTTCTTTTCACTCAACTAGGTTAGATACACACTTTATTTTGGATTCATACCTTATAATTCACTCACATAAAATAATCAAAAACAAAAACCTCTCTAGATAGCCAGTTCTATTATACTCTTTTCATGATAAAGCTTCACTGTCTAAAAGTCATAAGGATCAGATCCATAAGCCAACTACCTATATTTTAAACACCACCACTAGCATTCATACTGAATGTAAAAAAGAAGGAATGCGTCTTAATATACTGATATTGAACGATACCAAATATATTTGTTAAAAAACATATAAATAAGATATACTCGTGCATGTGTGAGAAAAACTGCACACATATATCTTAAAATGCATGAGAAATAAATGACTATGGTTCCCCTTTTTCAGAGAGCTGAGGGGATGGGTAGAGTAAGGGTGTCAGCAGGGGTGAGAGGAAGACTTTTCACTGCACGTCTCACCTATTTTGGTAAATTAGGCATTCTCATTCTACCCCCTCTTCCCCAGACCCCACCCCCTAAGAAATGCCTTGCTTCTGAATCCCACTCCACCTCCCACACTCACAGACGTACAACCACCCAGAAGCAATTCATGCCAGGTATGCTTTCCCTTTCACTGACTAAGGACTTTCTCCTAATCTTGCTTGCAAACATGAACCTACACTCTTCAGCATTCACAAGACCACACAAAAGCCACCTGACTTTAAAAGCTGCCAGGACCCTGGGTGGTAAACACAGCCCCTCCTCAGTGCTCCCATTACAGCAAACAGTTGCTGTGGGCCCTTGCTGTGTGCCAGGCCCTGTGGAGAGCATGGAGCACAAAGGGAAGCAGGATGAGGTACCTGCCTTCAGGGAGCTCACAGCCTCAAGGAGGAGACAGAAGAGGAAAGAAAATTTCCAAATAATATGATACTTGTAAGGGCAAAAGTATACAACAACGTAATTTAACACATTGTATTTTAACTGTTTTTTCCTTTCTCTTCCCACATCTCTCAAAGATGAAAGCCTCTGGCATAGGCACTGGATCCAGAGTTATCTTTATATGCCCTGTTCCAAGCATGGTACTCGCATGATCTGAACTTCATAAATGTCTCCTGGATAGCAATGCAATGGTATTAATATTTTCAGAAACAAAATTCACATATGTCTTAATGTCTCAGAACAGTGATCAGTATATACGTCAACTATTAACCTGGACCTATGCAATGTATTACAGTCCTAGAATTTCAGCACCGAAACAATTTTTACCTCAGAAGTCCTCTGATCATTTTGTCCTCACCATGCAGCCTTGGCTTTGATTCCATAACGGGGGAAAAGCATGAAAGCTGAGCCTGTTTCTTTTCCTGGAAGTTAATGTACTCTCACTTGTTTTTACTCATTAGACTGAAAACTTTCACCCAGTAACTTTGAATTTCTACTCATGGTTCATTTATTGGTAATTTCTCACAACTTTTAGAAAAATGTCAATTCTCAATTTGACACAGATTTGCCAGTATTTATTTATTTAAGGACCTCTTACACTTCAATCCTTGGACCTCGAGATATGAAAAATAATATTCTCCAAATTCTACTCACTCACCTTTGCCCTGCCCTGAGCTCTATCCAAAAACAAGATAGAAATGAGTTGCAAACATAGCATGAAGCATTGTTGCAATTAATCAACCTAGAGCCCAAGGGAAGAATCGTTTCTATTTTTAAATGTACTGCTGCTTTAAGGGAAAACTGTAGAGAAATATGAAACCAAGCTGCATAATGGAAATCAGAATACATTTGGTGTCTTCACCCTTGCAAAAAACAGTAATCCTAATCTATAAGTAGCACTGCTGTGTTGATTTTTTTCAGTTTGTCTATAAACTAAATGACCGGTACTCAGGTAGAATCCCACAGAAAGGGCTCAACCACCACTCAAAGAATCAGAAGCACAGAACAAGCGAGCACCTTTATTTCAATGCTATTTTTACAGCACCAGATAAGGGACTATTCAATAAGCAAGCAGATGGACAAATCCCAAAATCACCCCACAAAATTTACTTAAAAGATCCTGATTCATAAGTAACATGGGAGCCCTATAAATGATCAACTGATTACTTAGCATTTGGAACCAACTGTCCACAGTTATATTCTAGCCAAATTCCACAAAATCAAATCTGTTTCCCTGCACAAATGACAACACTTGATTTCATTAAATAGTAGCTAACAGTAGCACTCCTTTTAGTGAAGAGTGACAAGGAGCAGGTGCCAAACCAGCAAGGACAACAGAAGCAGCAGCTACATGTAAGAGAAGCTATAATATTCTACCTGTTTCCTAGACTGCTTTGAAGAATCTGACCCAACAGAATTTTTTTTTCTAAAACAATATAACAATATCCAGTTTGGGAAAAAAAAAAAACTTTGGTGATGAGGGCATCTAATTTAATCTGTAAATACTTTAATTTGCTTAATGAGTTTACTTATCAGCATGAAATATATTATCTACACTGCTATAAATGTATCTAAAAATACTACCCAAGGATACATCCATATAATTTGGCTATTGAATATCACCCTAAGAATCTGAAGAGGTAGCAGAATGTTTGCAAACTGAATGAAAACTGCTAGGCTCAACACGAAAAGCAAAGCATTCCCAATCTTACCTCCTCATAATTTCTTCCTCAAAATTGTGCAAAATTGTGCCTGACTACCATCATGGTTATAGAATGGAGGCAGGTGCTCCCTTTAGCCATAAAGTAACAAACCCTACTTCTCTCTTCAGTGAAATTCTCTGAAGAATAAAATTCACCAGACTGTAGCTCATCAATCAACAGGTGACTTTTAGAAACACAAACTCATACTCATTTCCAAGAAAAATTACTTTTGTAAAATCTCCCAGTTTTTCTTTGATATTTTTTATAAGCTACTGCATTACTTATTGAATGAATTCCAACTGATTTCTTCTCAGGGGCTTACCAGAAAAATGCCAAATATTCTAATTATTTTAGGGCATTTTCCCATACTGCTGCATGGAACAGAGCAGAATTAATAAGGATCCAACAGTTACCACTTTTCAAATGCAAATATGTTGCCATCTAGTAAATGCAGCCCCCTTTTAAACATCCCCCCAGTTGTCTATACAGTTCAGGTCACTACTTTTGTTTCCTTGAAAATCAAAATTCGCGCATTACATTCAGGCATTATCTCGATCAAGCACCAACAACAACAAAAAAATAGATTTTAAATGGTCCAGCCCGAGCCTGCCTCGTTGGTACATGAACTGTTTTGCTTTATTCTCCACCCCCGCCCCCCTCCACCATTTAACACACCAAGTCCCCAAACGATTCTGCCAAAGGAAACAAACTGTGCAGTGGTGGAAAAAAATCCCAAGCACTGGGTTCCACGAACAATCAAGGCCTTGGGCTGGTCACTTGCCCGCCTCGGGCCTCAGTTTTCCTGTCTGTAAAATGTGGCCGCTGGACTCATCATCTGGCCCTCTCACTCTCTGGGGAACTCACAGCCCGCCGGGGCAGGCTCGGGACAGGGCGCCGCGACAGCGCAGCAGAGCAGAAGGCACGGCGCGGAGGGGGAGGCGCGCAGGGAGGAGAGGAACTTGGACTTGCAACAGCTTCGAACGGAGCGTGCGATAAACTTGAAGCCGTCCTCCCAACAATAGGGAAGAGCTCTCCCGTTTTCCCGGCTCAAACTTGCAGGACCCTGCGAGGCTGGATCCTCCTGCCCGCCCACTGCGAACCCGCCTTACCTTTCTCCCTGTTTGGTGTTAGCAGGAGGAGGGTGCAGGACCGTTTGATTCCCTTCCATCTCCACCACGCACTTGGTGTTGAGCTCCAGCTCTGAAAGCACAGAGGAGAGCGAACGCTGCAAACTCTGGCGCCCGCGCCGCCAGGGCTCCGTCCCGCGGGGCGGCCGAGCCGGGAGCCGGCGCCGCGGCCAGGACGGGCGCTGCCTCCGCCGCGTCCTCGGGCCCCGCCGCGCTCCCGCCGCCCCGGCCCGGCCGCCCCGCAGTTCCCAAAGTCGCCCCCGCCCTCGGCCCGAGCAGAAACAGAAACGAGCGGAAAGCTCCTCACCTCGTCGGTTCATGGGCCGGACCCGGACGGCAACTTTTACCTTGGTATCCGACATGTTGGCTGCGCTCGCCGGGCCGCTCGCGGCGCCCGCTCGGCCCGAGGCGGCCCCTCACGCGCCGCGCCGCCGCCGCCACAGCCGACGCCGCCCCGCGAGCGCGGGCCGCGCCGCTCCGCCGTGTGCTCCGAGAAGCGCCCGAGGCGCGCGGCCATCCCGGGGGGGGAGCGCGACGCGGGCACTGCCGCGCCCGGGAGGGCGGGCGCGCGGGGCGGGGCGCGGCGGCGCGGCGGCGCGCGGGCGGGAGGAGGCCGCCTCGGGCAGGCGCGCTCTCAGCGCGGCCCAGCCGAGCGCGCAGCGCCGCGGCCCTCGCGGCCGCCGGGTCCCGGCCGCGCCGCCATCTCCGCGCCCGCCCGCCCCGCCCCGGGTCGCCGCGGCTCTGTGAGGCCGGCGGCGGGCGCGCGCGGTGCTCACCCCCGCCGGACGCAGTTGTCCCCCGGGGGCGCCTCCCGAGCCGAGCCGAGCCGGCGCCCGCGCGGACCCCCGGGACGCGGCCTGGAGCTGCAGTCGCCTTCGGGGGCCGCTGTCACCCGCAGACCCGGAGCCCTTGGGCGGAGGGAAGGGCCCCGACTCGCCGTGCCAGGTGGGCAGGCCTTCCCCACGGAATTAAATGCGCCTCAACCGAAATCCCGGCGCGCCGCCTCCCTCTGCCCCACACGGAGCTCGCAGCAGCGTTTTAAGATCTTTGTGGTGAACCGAGACCAGACATTCATCTGTGAACCTGCCACCGAAACAGTGTGTGTGTTTGTAAACAGTGCTCCCCCTTCCTTCCCCTTCCTCTCCTGCCGTGGGAGGGGTGTCGAGCGGGCTGGGAGGGTCATTAACTCTTACATAAGAATTTAGTGGCAATGAATCCTGCCATCCTGCCAGATGCAGACCTCGCCGCCAGGGCGGAACTGCGCGGATCTGGTTTATTCTGTTTGGTTCAACAAGTGCTCAGGGGGCGCTCGCCGGGTGCCGGGCATTTTGAGGCATCCAGAAGTCCAGAGTGTGGAGTTTAGATCCTGGAATCTTTCCATGTTGCTTCAGTGTAGGAATCCACTTGTTGGGAGTTGTGTCGAGGTCCCGCCGTGTGCAAGGTGCTGTGAGGACACCCACGAACGTGGATAGTGTTGTGCACGGCACTCCAGAGGCGCACGCGAAGGTGGGAGAAGTGACGTGGACACACACGTTGTGCTAGACGGTGGGTGGCAGGCGGCAGGAAAGAGGTGCGGTCTGCCTCCAACACATTCCAAGTTACGGGCCTGACTTTAAGTGATGCTTAATTGATACCACAGCTGACTCTTGAACAACACGGGTTTGAACTGCATGAGTCCACTTATACAAAGATTTTTTTCAATCAAAGGCAGATTGAAAATGCAGTGGCCAAACCCGGAGGTCTGACATTTTGTGTTTTTCAGGTTTTGCAGGGTTGAAGGTGGGACTTGAGTATGCGTGGATTTTGGTATACTCAGGTGTTCCTGGAACCAATCCTCTGCATATACCAAGGGACGACTGTACTTCTTCATCCCTGCCTTGTTGCAGGGCCGGCTAAGTCAGTCCACCTCTGAAAGGGCCTGTTGTATCTTTCCTCCTCTCACTCCTACTGCTGCAATTCTATTTTGTCCATCCATTCATCAGTTTAACAAATGTGTTCTGAGCACCCTACTATGTGGCAGACACTGCTGTAGGCTCTTGGCCACAGGCTTTCAAGAATGAAGAGGTGAACAAATAGGTGAAATTTCATCTCTCTGGGGGTAACAATCTAGTTCCCCACCTTTGGGCTACTGCGGCATCCTCTTAACTGACCTTCCTAACTTTAACTCCTATAATCTTTCCTATATCCAGCTTCCAGACTGATTTTTCACGAAAGTAAAATTTTACCCATTGCGCATGCTATTCCATCATTCAAAAAACTCTCTGGCCTACTCTATTTAATATTACCTCCACTCTTCCTGAAATTTTTCATTTCATCCAGGACCTTTCAACAAGCAAGATGCCATTCCTATGCTGAGCCATTGTTCTGGCAGTTCCTACCAATGGGAATTATAAAGAGCTGAACTTATGTCCCCAAAAAAGATACGTTCAAGTCCTAACCCCCAGTACCTGTGAATGTGACCTTATTTGGAAATAGGGTCTTTGCAGAAATAATCAAGTTAAAACAAGGTCATACTGGGTTTCGGTGGTCCTAAATCCAATGACGGATGTATTTATAAGGGAAAAGAGAGGGAGATTTGGACACACACACACAGGGAGGAAGACCATGTGAAGACGGGCAGAGATTGGAGTGATGCAGTTGCAAGCCAAGGAATGCCAAAGTTTCCCAGGAGCTAGGAAGAGGGAAGGAAGGATTCTTCCCTAGAGTCTTCAGAGGAAACATGGCTGTGTTGACACCTTGATTTTTTTTTAATTTTTTAATTATTGAAATTAGAGATGGAGTCTCGCTCTTGCTCAGGCTGGTCTCAAACTCCTGAGCTCAAGCAGTCCTCCCACCTCAGCTTCCCAGAGTGCTAGGATTATAAATGTGGGTCACCATGCCTGCCCCAGACACCTTGATTTTGGACCTTTAGACTCCAGAACTCTGAGACACTAAATTTCTGTTGATTTATGCCATCCAGTTTGTGATAATTTGTTATAGCAATCTTAAGAAACTAGTACAGGAATTAATCTGTTTCTCTCTCCCCCCACCCCCTTGATCTCTCCCTCTCTCTCTTTCTTTCTCCCCTTTTCCCCTTCTCCCTCATTCTCTGCAGCATAATGAAAGCTTTGAGTGCCTAAAAAATTTCGTCTTTATTCTAAAGGCAATGGGAACTGAATGAAGGTTTTGGTTTTAAAGCCAGGAACTGGCACATTTAGAGCATTCTTTTAGCATTCATTTGACATAGAACATTAATTTGACAACACTGTATCCATCCATAGGGCTGTTGCAGTCATCCAGATGAGACGGATGATAGTGTGAACAAAGCCAATGATAGTGCACATGGAGCAGAAGGAACAGATGCAGGACTTACTGTGGCCATAAAAGTGGAATAATTTAGCAACCAATGGGACATGATTGAGGTAGGCAAAGAATTGCAAGTGACTGGGAAAGGGACTAGAAGAATGATGGCCCTTAACACCATAAATGCATGCAAAGGATACTAGGTCTAAAGGTGAGAGGGGCACAATTAATTTGGTGTTGCTGGTTAAATAAACAGTTTCCACGCCTGTAATCCTAGCACTTTGAGAGGCGGAGGCCGGAGTATTGCTTGAGCTCAGGAGTTCGAGACCAGCCTGAGCAAGAGCGAGACCCTGTACTCTACTATAAATAAAAAGAAATTAGCCAAACAACTAAAAATAGAAAAAATTAGCACGGTGACACGTGCCTATAGTCCCAGCTACTTAGGAGGCTGAGGCAGGAGGATCGCTTGAGCCCAGGAGTTTGAGGTTGCTGTGAGCTAGGCTGATGCCACGGCACTCTAGCCCAGGCAACAGAGTGAAACTCTGTCTCAAAAAATAAAATAAACAGTTTCCATTAGTTCTTTGCAGAGTGGCTCTTCCTTCTGCTTTCCCAACCCTCTCCAATTTTAAAGGCCCAGATCAGTTCTCCCATCTCTTCTAAGACAAGTTTGCTGTTAATAAATGTTTCTTCTTCAAAATGGTTTAGCTTTAACTCATTAGGAATTCTGTCTTTTTACAGTTAGAGGGTGCCTTTTGGGGTCCTCTGGACCTTCTACAATAGCCCCTAAAGTGGCCATCTATCCTCTGCTTGAATGGCTGGTGACAGAGTGCTCAAATTTGAGGAGGAGCTAAACACACTGTTGGGTGACTCATTCTCAAGTCCTGCACCTACAGAAGGCCTCCGTAATGAATCAAATTTGCCTCCTTGTAAATTCCACCTGGTAATAGAAATGCTACCTCCTAGTGCTTCACATCCCTAGTCTAACTCCTGTTAGACTTAAAGCCCTCCAGATACTTGATGGTGGCTCTCATGTCCTTCTGAAGACTTCTGTTCCTCAGAATATGCTGTTCTGGTTACTGATATTGTATAATAAATCCCCCCACAAAATTTAGCATCTTAAAACGGCAACAATCATATAATCTCTCACAGTTTCTGTGGGTTGGGATGGGAATGTGAGAAGGGCTCTTATAGGGAGTTCTGGCTCTAGTTCCATCATGAGATTGCAATCAGATGGTGGTTGAAGCTGGGACAGTAGGGAGCTGGGGTAGCTGAGTTGGCCAGGCCTTTCTCTCTCTCTCTCTCTCTCTCTCTCTCTCTCTCTCTCTCTCTCTCTCTCTCTCTGTTGTCTCAAGATTTCTCCATATGGTCTTTCTGCAGGAGTAGGCTTGGGCTTCCTCCCAGCATGGTGGCTGCGTTCCAAGAGTGAGCATTCCAAGCACACCAGCAGAAGCTATATCATATCATCTTTTATGACCTAACCTCAGAAGTCCTATAGTGTTACTTCTGCCGTAGTTACGAGCCCTCCCAGATTCAAGGGGAGGACCATAGATAGCCCTCTTATCTCGATGGGGGGAATGTCAAAGTTATATCATGTCTGGTGGGGCATACTGTTGCCACCCTTTTTGAAAAGTACAGTCCACCACATAACACGTTCCTTTAACTGTCCTGGCCATCCTCCACTGACAACATGTTATAATAAAGTCTTAGGAATTGGATAAGCTGTGTTTGAATCTTGCCTCTCTCACTTACGTATAGTCTGAAACAAACTGCCTAACCTCCTTAATCTTCACTTGGTTCATGAATAACAAACGAGCATCTGAACTCCTACCACACAGGATGTAGTGGACACCTTTTTGAATGTATGCCTGACACCCCACATCCTACTTTTCCTGAGAACTGCTGTTCCTTCCCACCCCCCACTCCAACCCTGACTCCTAGGCTTCCGGCAGCCACGTTTGTACTATGGACCACACCTGCCTGATAACAGCCAACTGGACCAGGAGGGCTGTTCCTGCCACCAGCTGAGCGTATCGGATTCTTCTCCCTGAAAATCTGGGCTCGAGATTCAGAGGGTGGTGATTAAGGGTGATGCCCGCAGAAAAAGACTGTCTAGTTTGGATCCTGAACCTTCCTTTTCTGAGCAAGAAAATCTATATTAACTCTTCTGGGCCCCAATTTCCTTATTTATAAAACAGGATGAGATGATGATGATAATAGTAAGAGTACCTGCTATAGGGTTGTTAGGAGGATAAAATGAGTTAATAGCTATGAAATTCTCATCACAGCATGTGAACAGGGGCTGCTACCTCCTTGAAGTGAACCTGATGGCTGTGAGGTAGCTGTATTTTATCAGAGTCATGGGGAGACCCAGAAAATTGCTCTGAAGAAGATCAATGAGGCCGTTGTGCAGAGACAATCAGGCAAGAGAGAACTGCTTGCGTTTCTGAAAATCTTCCAGCTTCTGCCTCTAGGCTCTATCTGGCTGAGCTGCATCCCTGCCCCTAGATTCTATGGTGAGGATAGAATTAACATGAGAAAGGGGCCGAGACTGAGAAGACAAGAAGGTGCTCACGAATACTAGTTATATTTTGTCAGCATGGAGAGAGTCGATATATTCTACAAAATAGCGCTGACAGTGCCCTCCATCCATAAATCCCTTTCAGAAGGGAGATACTTAGAGTTGAATATATACACAATAAACTTGATGAAAACTAGAAGGCAGCACAGTACAGGGAGTGAAAGCATGGACTTTGTGGTCAGGTCATCTGGATTCAAATCCCAGCTCCGCCACTTGCAAGCCATGCAACTTGAAGTCATTTATCTTATCTCTACCTCCACTTCCTGATCTCTACAATGGTGATGATGAGGGTACTTGCCTTGTTGTACACTTAAATGAGGATCTGGCACATGATAAGAATTAAATAGGCATAGTGGTGTTTTCATCATCATCATCATCATCACCACTACTATTATTCATGAATCCAGGACTCCCCTCAACAAGCTGAGGTTCCTCATCGTTATCCAGTAGATGGGACCCTACCACATTCCGTAAGTGCCCAAAGTATGTCACAGTATGAAAGGAAGAACAGTCCTTGAAATAATCCTCAAGAGAATAACCCTCCCTAATCATACCAGTGCCTAATTAGCCCTTCCCAGAGCCCCTCAGAAGTGCAAATTACTCACAGGAGACCAAAAATGGAACCTCTCCAGGTCAGTTTGCTTGGAAGGGGTCAGGTGGGGGCTTTCCCAGCCTCCTTCCCTAGAAAGAAGGTCCCAAAGGGCTTTAGGGGAGATTTTGGAAACCCCAACCTTAGATATTTGGCGAGCAGAAATTCGAGTAATTATCTATCTGAGAAGGGGTCATAGACTATAGACCAGGAATTTTATTAATAACTAGGTGGACTTCTTAAGAAGAATCTGGACCTTTCTAATTCGCCCATGCTTGGTTTTCTTCTGCCTATTTAACTGAAGTGGTTAACAAAAAATACTATTAAAGGATGCAAGGGCTTTTCTCTAGTGACAACAGGCAAGTTCAGAGTGCTAAACAGTGTCCCATTCTGTACTCGGTCTGGAGGAAAAGAGGCTCAGGTTATGGTGAGGCAGCTTGTTGAGGGCATGAGCCCACTGCATGGAGGTAAAGGCTCATTGGGGAGTGGGCCTAACCTACAAAGAGGCCTTGGACTGGGGCTGAACTATGGGAAGGCTGCTGAGACTTCCCTGACAGAACACTCTGGCCCAGACATCCAACCATTTCTGCAATGCCCAAAGGCTACCATAACCAACTAATACAGCTGTGTGTGCTGGCCACGAAAACAGCCCTGGTATGTGCCCCTTTGTCAGGAAGTGCTAGTTAACACGGCTTTACTTAGAAACTGGAGACACCATGGTTCTGAAGAACTGGAAAAGAACTTGTAGCAAACATCCCAGGGACTCTGGGATCATCCGATTTCTGTAAGTGTAAGTTCCAAAGCTACTAAAGTCAGAAGTAGCAGATCAGGCTGCCAGGCTGATCTAAAAACTGCTAATGACTTAAGTCTGCAGAGAATCCAAGAGTAATCGTTGTGCAGGCAAATACTTAAATAAGAGGCTTTCTATAAACCTAGTTTAACAGCCATATCAGTCAGCCTAGGCTAAGTGATGCCACAGTGCCCAACAACCTTGGAATCTTGGTGGCTTACAGAAAGCTTTATGCCTCACACACATGACTTGCCTGTCACAGGCTAGTTGTAGTTCTGCTTCTGTCATGTTTATTCTAAGTTCCAGGCTGACAAAATAGCCCCTAGCTGGGATAGTACTAATTTTTTAGCAGAAGAGGAGAAGGTAGCAGACCTTCAAGTTTTGGCTCTTCAAGTTTTTGCTCAGAAATGGTACACATCCCTTCTCAATCTTCATGGAACAAAGCAAATCACATGATCAAACTAAGCATCGGTGGGACAGCGAAGAATAATTCTCCCCCAGGGACTCCAAACCATCTACCATGATAACATTTATATTTCACAATAGTTAATAGTAGAGAACTTTTATTAAACAGTGACTACTGACCAAACAGTTCTATTACTCAATCCTTACAATAACCCTTACAGTAACTGAATAATCCTTACAGTAACACACTATTATTATCATCCTTCATTATACCGATCAGCAAAAAACAAAGAGAAAATTTAAGTAACTTGCCCCAAGGTCGCCTACCATGGAAGTGATGGCCTTGAGATTTGAATGCAGGTCTTCAAACAGCCAGGCTCTCCCTTCTACATTGTGACTGCTTTGGATGTGTTTTGCAAAATAAAACTACCAACCTACACAATTGGAACATGCATGTGAGTGGTTTTTCTAAGGGTGATAATGGATTTGCCCTGATTCATCTGTATTTTGGGGGGGGGGCACAAAAAAGAATGTGACAAGCAATATAAACAATAGTAAGTTAGTATTGTGCTTTACAGTTTTATGCAATATGTAGCCTCCTTAAAATATTATTACAAAGTACTGTTGGAGGTAAAAGAGAAGATAATCCTTTGCCAGATGTAGGGGTGGTAATTGCACAGGATATTGGGCTCACAGTGGCATAGAAGGAAAAGCAGACTTTGATGTCAGACCCACTGTGGTTTGTTTTCTGCCTCTGTAACTTACTCACTGTGTTTACCTCGGACATTCAAGCCTTGGGGCTCTTGTGTGTACAGTGTGTTCTATAATACCCATTTCACAGAGTTCCTGTGAGGATGAGATAATGTATGTAGAATGCCTGGCTTGGTGACTGGCACAAACAGAACACACATTCAACAAATAGTAGTTGCTATGGTTACTGCAGTAGTTGTTGAGGAAAGAATGGAATTCTGATATAATAGCTGTGGAAAAGCAGTCTGTGTGGAGGGAGCAGGAGGGACAAGGCATGGAGGCCAGAGAACAATGGAATGCTGTGCTTTAGGAACCTAATCAAGCACTGGATACTGGAAGTGTTGGTTCTAGGAGAAACCACTGAAAATGATTTAGGAATGGACTATCCAAGCTAGAAGTGGGGAGGGCCTGAAGCAGGAGAAGAGCAGGGACAATGGTGAGGAAGACAAGGCCCAGGACACGTCCCTGGGTGGAGATCTCTGTCTGCACCACAGGTTGGCAGAGCCCTCTCGCTGTGCCCTCTTCTGAGCAGGATTAGCAGCTGATCAACCCAGGGTCTGTGGTCTCTAGCAAGGCACCCACACATAAGCCAGCCTCATAAGCACAGTGACCTAGCCAGGGGGGTTCCTAAACCTGGCTGTCCATTCTTTGGTGCCTACTAAAACAGGGATTCCTGAGTCTTCCCTCAGACAGGGGTTTAGAAGGTCTGGGCTGGGCTGCTTGTGAAATAGCGTGTGCCTGGACTGGCATTTAGGAACAGCTTGACAAGGCCACCCCGTCACACTGGATGCAGCCCACGACGTGAAGAGGAAGGGATTGTCCCTGGCTATTCTATAACCTTGATTCTTGCACATGGGCTCATGGAATGATCTGGAACTAGCCAAAAGTGAAAACAAAGTGCAAAGAAAGAAGAAGTTCGAAACAAAACATAGAGGCCTTTCCTGAGGGATTTATCCAGATGTGAAGACTTCAGGTTGGAAGTTGTGTGGGTAAGAACTCAATGACCTGCTCCCAAGGTGACCAAGTGAACATTAGCTTTCATTCGACAGACATCACCGGTTGAAAGTGGACAAGCTCTCTCTACCCATCTACTAGTGAATCCATTCATTTATCAAATGTTTACTGAACAGCGGCACACAGGTACGGCAAAAGTAGCTGAAATTCAGAAACAGACATAGTCCCTGCCCTCAAGGGGTTCCCAGGGCAAGAAGGAACAGCCACATGCAATCTAGACGGGACACACTCATGGCGTGAACCAGTTTGGTGGGGTACAGTGATTCCCACCCTGAGGGAGGCTTCTCGTTGAAGAGGACATTCGAGATGGATCCTAGACACTGAAGGTGTATTTTGCCAAGCAAGGAAAGAAAATGGCTTAATCAAGAATCAGTGGGGGCCAGGCGCGGTGGCTCATGCCTGTAATCCTAGCACTCTGGGAGGCTGAGGTAAGCGGATTGCTTGAGGTCAGGAGTTCCAAACCAGCTTGAGCAAGACCCCGTCTTTACCAAAAATAGAAAGAAATTAATTAACCAACTAAAAACATATATACAAAAAAAAATTAGCCAGGCATGGTGGTACATGCCTGTAGTCCCAGCTACTCGGGGGACTGAGGCAGTAGGATCGCTTGAGCCCAGGAGATTGAGGTTGCTGTGAGCTAGGCTGACGCCACGGCACTCACTCTAGCCTGGGCAACAAAGTCAGACTCTGTCTCAAAAAAAAAAAAAAAAAAGAATCAGTGGGGTTGCCCAGCCTGAACAAGAGCGAGACCCCATCTCTACTAAAAAAAAAAAAGGAAAGAAATTAGCTGGACAACTAAAATGTGCATATATATATATATATATATATATATATAATTAGCTGCACATGGTGGTGCATGCATGTAGTCCCAGCTACTTGGGAGGCTGAGGCAGGAGGATCGCTTGAGCCCAGGAGTTTGAGGTTGCTGTGAGCTAGGCTGACACCACGGCACTCTAGCCTGGGCAACAGATGAGACTCTGTCTCAAAAAAAAAAAAAAAAGAATCAGTTGCAAAAAGCAGAGATGAACTTGAACTGGCCGAAGCAAAAAGAACACACCTCCAGGTGTGTGAATGTCCAAGGTGAACACAGCGAGTAAGTTACACCTCCATGGGGTCTCAGGAAGGGCTGGAACCAGAATCGGAAAGTTGGGAACTCAAGTTACTGCCTTCTTTCCTTTCACTGTGGTCTGTCTTTCATCCACTCCCTGTGCTTAGTTTCTTCTCTCTCTAGATGAGCTCTGTCATCTTTTCTTTACACTTAATGGAAAACACCCGCCTCAGACCCCTTTGCACACTGCCTCATCCCACTTCCCAGTGATGGCCAACCAGGCAGGGCAGCGAGTGGAGTCTGGTCTTCTAAGTGAATACAGGTTCTGTTAAACTCAGAATGGTGGGGTGTGGTGGGGAAGCGGTGATAAAAGACAAGAGACTCAGGGGAACCATCAGTGTTGACAGGCGGAAGAAAAGGCTGGGCCAACCCTGGGGTAAGAGGTGAGTGAGTGCCCAACAGCGTGGAGGAGGAAGAGAAGGGCCAGAGTCATGAGGGGTGGCGGGCACTGAGGAACGAGGGAGGTTGTGGGCGGAATTTGGGATTTTCAGGTCCTGTGTGTAGTGGGAGTTGGGAGTTAACTTCCTCAGGGCCACCGCGCTTACTCTGCTGCGGTTCATTCAGAAAGGCTATTTTCTTTCATTTGGCAGAAAAATAGATGCTGGCTGTATCTCCCCCTGACCTTCAAGCATGAGGTCATTCAGTCAGAATCCTGTTCCTGTGATCCTGCCTTCTGTTCTGCTGTTTCCCTTCTGGATGGGAAGCATGTCTAATCAACCACAGGAAGTAGCCAAAGTAGGAAGGAGGAGCTCCTGGGACAGGCGTGGAGGGACTAAGACGGGGCTGTTCCACATCTTCTGGGGACTCTATCACGCTGGGTGCCGAGGGGGCCAGGTGGGGAAAGCATAGTCAGTGACACCTAAAGAAATGGCCTGGAAAAGATGGGGGCAGGGGATGGAAATCCTCTTGAACTATCTTGTTACCTATGGATCATGAACAAAAATGTCCTGCCTCCGGAAGTAGAAGTCCCAGCACCTTAACTCAATGAAATGGAAGGAAAGAACAAATAACCCCAGGGAAAGTCTGGGGCTGGAAAAGCCCGTCTCTGATGCTGCTCTCCTCTTTACTTCCCCCAGTCCACTGTGCATACCCCACAGCCTGTGCTGCCCTTTCTTTCTTTGGGGACTTTTGTCTGTTTCTCAGCTTGTGGGCAACATATACCACAACACTGTCACAGGGTTCAAACATCAGATGCTGTACAAAGATTTATAAAATTATTAGTCCTTGTCCATCCTTTACTCTCTCCTTTCCCAATCCTCTGGGACAACCACTTCTTTTTTTCTTTTTCTTTTTCTTTTCTTTTTTCTTTTTGAAACAGAGTTTTGCTTTGTTGCCTGGCTAGAGTTCAGTGGCGTCAGCCTAGCTCACTGCAACCACAAACTCCTAGGCTCAAGTGATCTTCCTGCGTGAGCCTCTTGAGTAGCTGGGACTACAGGTATGTGCCACCACACCTGGCTATTTTTTTCTATTTTTAGTAGAGACAGGGTCTCGCTCTTGCTCAGGCTGGTCTGTAACTCCTGACTTCAAGCAATCCTCCCATCTCAGCCTACCAGAGTGCTAAGATTACAGGTGTGAGCCACTTACTGCACCTGGCCTTGGGACAACCATCGCTAACCTTATGTACCTGCTCTCTGTGTCACCTTGAGCAAATTATGTAACTTCTCTATGCTTCGTATTCCTCATCTACAAAATGTCACCAATAATAATAATAAAACTGTTTCACAAGGTTGTTGTAAGGATAAAACAAGATGATTGCCTTGTCAGGGTTCTCAGAGAAACAGAACCAATAGGATATAAAGAGATTTATTATAAGGAATTAGTTCACGTGATTATGAAGGCAGAGAAGTCCCAGGATCTGCCGTATGCAAGCTGGACACTCAGGAAAGCTGATGGTGTCATTATGGTCCATGTCTGAAGGTCTGAGACCCAGAAGAAGCAAGGGTGTGGGTCCTTCTCTGAGGGCAGAAGACGGATGTCCCAGCTCAAGCAGATAGGCAGAGAGAGCGAATTCCATCTTCCTCGGCCTTTTTTTTTTATTTTACTCAGACCTGGAAAAGATTGAATGGTACCCATATTGCAGGCGGCTACCTGCTTTACTTAGTCTACCAATTCTAGTACTAATCTCATCTGAAACACCTTCTCAGACACATCCAGAATAATGTTTAACCACATCTTTGGGCACCCCATGACCCAGTTAGGTTGACGCATAAAATTAGCCATCACTTCATGTAAAGTGACTAACATTATGCCTTCACACAGTAAGCATTAAGTGTTAGCTATCATTATCACAGTGTTTCTTAATCCGTTGGTTTGATTGTCTGTTTCCCCCCTGGACTGTGAGTTCCTTAAGGAACTAGAGGGTAATACAAATCAATAGAAAAAACCAAGTAACCTGATTAAAATTGGGCCCAAATAAACATTTTTTCCACATAAGACATACAAATGGCCAGGTATATGAAATGATGTTCAACATCACTAATCATCAGAGAAATATAAATCACAACCACAATGAGATATCACTACATACTTGTGAGGTTGATTGTTATAAAAAATACAAGAGGCCGGGCGCTGTGGCTCACGCCTGTAATCCTAGCTCTTGGGAGGCCGAGGCGGGCGGATTGCTCAAGGTCAGGAGTTCAAAACCAGCCTGAGCGAGACCCCGTCTCTACTATAAATAGAAAGAAATTAATTGGCCAACTGATATATATATATAAAAAAAAATTAGCCGGGCATGGTGGCGCATGCCTGTAGTCCCAGCTACCCGGGAGGCTGAGGCAGAAGGATCACTCGAGCCCAGGAGTTTGAGGTTGCTGTGAGCTAGGCTGACGCCACGGCACTCACTCTAGCCCGGGCAACAAAGCGAGACTCTGTCTCAAAAAAAAAAAAAAAAAAAAAAATACAAGAGATAACAAATGTTATCAAGGGTGTAGGGGAAAGGGAAACCTTGTATATTACTGGTGGGAATGTAGATTTATACAGACATTATGGAAAACTGTGTGGAGCTTCCTCAAAAAATTAAAAATGGAACTACTATATAATCCAGCAATCCCACTTTTTGGTATATATCCAAAGGAAATGAAATCAATTATGTTGAAGAGATACCTGCACTCCCATGTTCATTGCAGCATTATTCACAATAGCCAAATAAGTAAACTACCTAAATGTTCATTCATGGATGAATGGATAAAGAAAATATGGTGTGCAGCCAGGTGTGGTGGCTCACGCCTGTAATCCTAGCACTCTGGGAGGCCGAGGCGAGTGGATCCTTTGAGCTGAGGAGTTTGAAACCAGCCTGAGCAAGAGTGAGATCCCATATCTACTAAAAAATAGAAAGCAATTAGCTGGACAATTAAAAAAAAACATATATATATATATAAATTGGCCAGGCGTGGTGGTGCATGCCTGTTGTCCAAGCTACTTGGGAGGCTGAGGCAGGAGGATGGCTTGAGTCCAGAAGTTTGAGGTTGCTGTGAGCTAGGCTGACGCCACAGCACTCTAGCCCAGGCAACAGAGTGAGACTCTGTCTCAAAAAATATATATATTTTATAATTTTAATGAATTTAAAAATCTATTAAAGAAAAGAAAATATGGTGTGTGTATATATGTGTACAATTGAATACTATTCAGCTATAAAAAAGAAGGAAATCCTTCCATTTCTGACAACATGGACCAACCTAGAGGACATTATGCTAAGTGAAATGTGCTAGATACGGAAAGACAAATAGTGCATCATCTCACTTTATATGTGGAATCTAAGAAAGTTGAACTCACAGAAGCAGAGATCACAATGGTGGTTGTCCGGTGATGGGGGAAATGGAGAGATGACAGTCAAAGGGTACAAACCGTCCTTTATAAGATGAAAACGTTCTGAGGATCCGATGTACAGCATGGTGACTATAGTTAACACACAGTGGTAACCATGTGTGGTGATGGATGGGTTAATTAATTCGATCATGGTAATCATCACACAATGTATACATGTATCAAATCATCACATGGTATACCTTGAATTTTAACTTATCAATTATACCTCAACAAAGCTGAGGAAAAAAAGGAATTGGAATGTGTAAAGTGGCAGGCACAACCCAGTAAAAGGTACACATTTTTATTATTACTATTGTTGAAGATGGTAGAAAACTCGCCTTGCTCATCTGAATATCACCAGCCCATGGCATAGAACCTGGCACCTAGTACCTTCTCAATAGAAGACTCACTGAGAAGGAATGGATTAATTTAAATAATTGGGTCTCTCTTCTTTTCAGAATACTCAGCAAGGAAGTATATGCACTGATTGTTGTGATGCTTCTGTTTTCTCTTTTCCTTCAGAGCCTGTGACACATCCCTGTAAGTATTCTCAGCATTGGCAGGTCTGCTCCACCCATCCTGGTCCTGGGATTCTCAAGCTGGAGGAGATCTTAGAGATCATTTAATGCAATCATTTGCCTGAAACAGATACATCTGAGATATTAGGTAACGTGACTATGGTCACAAAGCCAGGAAGAGGGACTTGATTTCATAAATAACCTTAAGACATTTGCAGTTAAGTCTCGAGGGAAGATGCGTGAATCAGCTGGGAAATATGGGTTGGTTCAAATGGCAGTGAAGATGGTCCAAAATAAGAGCCCCCAAAGTGCTAAGATGCCTTCATGGCACTGCTGTGTGAGCTGCCTCCCACGGTGACGGCTTCGAATCCCAGTATTCAAACCTGCTTCACCCTCTCCCTAACAGCACCCATGCAGTTAACCCCTGGCAAGATCTCAGATTTTTCATTAAAAACTCCTTTCCTATGAGGTGGAAGGTCTGGAGACTTGAAGCAATCTGACCCAACACAACTCTAGATGTATTGCTTCCCAGTCTCTGCCAGACTGTCTGCGCACCCCTCGTAACTAACTGGATGCTTGGGAGACTTTCTCAGCCCAGGTCCCTCCTCTGAATTACAGAACACCAAAAATGATTTGAGTAAGTCTTTTCTCATTTCTCCCTTGGTTGTTACGTAACAAACACTACCCTAGATGCATAGAAGTTTAATTCGTTAGACACAATGGATGCCATGGGTCACTAAGGCTTAATTCTCTTGTGGAACCTGGTAGAAGAAAGACCCCAGTGTATGACTCCTGTAATTCCCAATCTGCCAGACTCCAGCGTGTCTTTGCTTCACACCACTCAAGATACAAGTGCACCCTGCTCACCTCCTCCCCTCCCTCCTCCCCCAGCCTCACGGGGGATGTTGGCTCAGGGTGACACTCTTGTCGGTGACGTAGTACTGATATATTTGGGGTACCTGTTTTTTTAATGGTTTTCTTTTAGTCAAGTTAATACCAAGACAGATAACTATCTAAGACTTTCAATGTGTGATAAAATTAAATTAAATTAGATTTTAAAAAGACAGATAACTAGTGAAAATTCCATTGGAAAATCACAAACTAATCTTGTTTGGATTCCCAGACAGCTGTAACTTAACTAATATTTCCCTTCCTTTTTTGCTTCAGGATTCAAGATTTATGATTTAAGACTCAGGATACCAGTCTGCTCCTTCGAACTATGATTCCTAACCTCCTAGGGCCTTGTTAAACACTTGTACAGATTTTTTTTTTTTTTTTGAGATAGAGTCTTGCTCTGTCATTCTGGCTAGAGTGCTGCGGTGTCAGCCTAGCTCACAACAACCTCAAACTCCTGGGCTCAAGCAATCCTCCTGCCTCAGCCTCCAAAGTAGCTGGGACTACAGGCATGCACCACTATGCCTGACTAAGTTTCTTTCTATTTTTAATCGCCCGGCTAATTTTTCCTATTTTTTAGTAGAGATGGGGTTTTGCTTTTGCTCAGAGCTGATCTAACCTTAAGGGATCCTCCCGCCTCGGCCTCCCAGAGTGCTAGAATTATAGACATGAGCCACTGCGCTCAGTCCAGATTTTTTTTTATTATTTATTTTAGAATATTACGGGGGTACAAATGTTTTGGTTACATGGATTATTTTTGCACTGTTTGAGTCAAAGTTATAGTCAAAGTCAAAGTTGAGTCAATGCCATCACCCAGATGTGCATTGTACCCGTTAGGTGTGATGTCACCCATTCCCTCCTCCCACTTGTACAGATCTTTGCCTGTGGTCCTAGTTGTCTCCCAGAAAGTCTTCAGGATGAAAGGAAAACAATAACCTGCAAAACCTTTCTCCAGGGAAAGTGCCTTCTTGTGGGCTAGCAGGAGTTCAGGTTTCCACTGGAAGCGCTTGCTGATGGGTGGTTTATTTCCCTGGCCAATGGCTCTGCTTTCCAGGTAGTGCTCTAGGTATAGCTTTGTAATTTTAGAAAGTGTTTCCTAAAGACCTTATCAGAATTCCGAGATGAGTGGAAGAAATATGGCTCTAAAAAATGACTGTTCTTTTTTGAACAAGGAAATCCCACATTTTTGTAAAGGGAGCAATGCTCTGTAATGGCAGCAAACATGTGTTTCCAAAAATAGACTATAAAGCAGCATTTGTAAGGCTTTTGAGAACCTCAGTGGTTATGTGAGTGCTCTCTCAAAAACAGCTAAGCCAAGTTCAAGCATTTATTGACCTTAAAAAGGCCTTCCCTCTCTTCATAAATATTTACTGCCTCCACAGTGTATGAAATCATTATTATAAAAGGTCAAAAAAATCTTCATATATTTAAAGAAAAGAGAGGGAAGTGGCAATAAATTTTCCTCTAAGAGCTTTTAATACAAAACTTAACTAAATGCATTATGTGAACCATTGGCTCCTGGTTCAAACAAACCGGCTGCAAGTAGATATTTTGGGCCAGAGAAATGTAAATATGGACCACATATTATTTTGCTTGTGTAATTAAATGACATTTTTTCAAAGATATGATGTCTGGGATTTGTTTTACATACTTTAGCAAATAAGTATAATAGATGATATAAAAGCAGCTAAATGTTAATTATTAATGTAGGTGATTATTATTTCGGGGTTTATTATAATAATCTCTTTACTTATAAATGTTTAAAATATTTCATGGTACAGTGTTTTAAAAATAAAAATAAGTACAGATAAAAATTTTAAAGAGAGGCTCTAATACTACATACAAATAGGTAATTTCTCACGGAAGAAATACACGTGTTTTGAAAATAACACTCAATGAACCTGAAGCAGGTTGTTTATAAGCCTAGTGCAAAGCAAATTAAGTTTTTCAATAAGTGTTGCTAATAATTCACCATCAGACACAATGTTGGCATTTACACAATGTTGGCATTACACATTACACATGGTCATGATAAATCAGAAGGTTAAAATAATATGTTTCATGCATATTAATCTCAAAATGCACTTTTAGATTTAAAAAAAATGAAAAGTCAGAGTTTGTTTCTTAGTATTTCTTTGATAATTCATAATATAAACTGTTCTTATCCATGTAAATGAACTGCAATCCTAATATTTTCACTGTTGGTTGATTTTTAAAACTATGTGAGTTAAATGAGAAAAATAGGCAAAGGAGATGAATAGACATGAAAAAATGCAAATGGTTCTTTTTGTTGTTGTTGTTTTTTGAAACAGGGCCTTGCTCTGTTGCATGAAGTTGGGCATTTTCATGTCTTTAAGAACTACTTGGGCTGGATGTGGTGGCTCATGCCTATAATCCTAGCACTCTGGGAGGCTGAGGTGGGAGGATCTCTTGAGCTCAGGAGTTTGAAATCAGCCTGAACCCTGTGTAAGAGTAAGCCCCATCTCTATTAAAAATAGAAAAAATTAGCTTGGTGTGGTGGTGCACACCTTTGGTCCCAGCTACTTGGGAGGCTGTGGCAGGAGGATCCCTTGAGCCCAGGAGTTTGAGGTTGCTGTGAGCTAGACTGATGCCATGGCACTCTAGCCCGGGCAACAGAATGAGACCGTGTCTCAAAAAAAAAATTAAAAAAAAAAGAACCATTTGTATTTTTTTTCATATCTATTCATCTCCTTTGCCTATTTTTCTATTGGGTTAATTGCCTTTCTTTCTGACTTGTAGGATCTCTTTATATTTTAGGGAAATTGGACTTTTACAATATGAAATACAAAAATTATTTTGTAATTTCTGTTTTCTGCTTTTGCTTAAGGTGTTTTTTTTCACAGATGCATAAACAACTTTTTGGGGGTCATATTTATTTTTCTATTCTTTTGTGACATCTGGGTTTTGTTTCACATTTTGCAAGTCCTTTGCCACTCAGAGGGGATTTTTAAATTCTCTCATCAGTACTTTTATATTATTTTTAACATTTAAATCCTTAATTCTTTCTGAATTTATTCTGGTATAACATATGAGGTACAAATCCAAACTTATTTTTTTCTAGATGGTTACCGGTTGTGCCAACACAATTTATTAAACAATCTTTTTCCTACTAATTGGAAATTCCACTTTTCTCATGTATTAATAGAAATTTCCATTTGTACTTGGGTCTTTTTCTGTATGTTTCATTTGATTCTGCTGATCTGCCTCAGACAGGCGCTTTGGTCTGTATTTTATTAGTCTAGTTTTATACAAAAATGAATAGGCAGATATCCAAGACTCTGGCACGAATTTATTCAAACTCCATTCAGAACAATATATTCAATAGATGAATTGTTCTTTGGGGAACATATTTTAAAATCCTGCATCTGCTAAAATCCAATCTTCTTCATATGTCAAGGCTGAAGTCCAAACCATAACTATGGTCAGTATTAGTCAATGAATCTTGACTTTTCTATAGCAAAATAGCTGCCTAATGTCAGTTTTGATAGTTTTTATGGCTCAAGTTAGCATGTTGGTGGACTGTGCTCTCAGGATAAGAAGCTGATCCTACCATTTCTCTGCTCACCTTATTTTCTCCCAAAACATGGTTCTGGTTTTTGTTTTGTTTTATTTTTTTTTCATCAGCTGCCCACATACAATTAATTTATATCCTAATCACAAACCACCCTCTTCTCAGTACTAGTGGGGTTTTGATTTGTAAGCAGCTTCGAGACAGGAACAAGACTATATCTCACCGAACTCCAACTTTGGCAGGGTATAATTGACCAAGGACCCCAGCTGCTGTGCTCTGAACTTTTTTGAAGTGTTTGTGCTGAGGCCATGCCTTTCAAGAGCTGCTACTCCCAGCCCATGCCTAAGGGCAGCAGAGATGCTAAGGCGGGTCTATTCCTGGAAAACTGGGAGTTGTCTCTCAATGCTGCCTTTGGCTGCAGCGTCAAAGCCCAAACTTCCCTCCCTTCTCTTTCACTTAGGGTCAGATTTGCATGGTGGTTTCATGGCTTTCTCCCCATTTTCTCTCACACAGGCATTTCCCCTAATAAAATCCTTACGTATTTAATCCCGATTTGACATTGGATTCTTGGAGGACCTGGACTAACACAAGCATCCCATTCTTATAGCCATGATATGTATTTGTTGGTAGTGTCTCTATACACCCATACGTGCAGCTGTAAGTTGGATCTTTGGCTCTTGGCTCCTTCCTTCACTCGCTGGTTGTGCATTAGAAATAGCTCTTTTACTCAATTGAGTACAGAATCCTGCCTCTTAAACCACAGAGATAGAGTAGGAGATCATTAAATTTGTGTGGCAGTAAGTTAAGACTTTGAGATGTTAGTGGTCACATAGCAAGAATGAAGGGGGTAGTCATCTTGAGAACAATTGGTGCATGACTAATAACACAAAGTCATTTCAACCTGAGCTTCATAAGGGGTGTACTCAAAGAACAGAACTGTTGCTGGAGGCTGAGATCACACTTTTGTCTGTAAGTGAAGCAGGATTAATGCATTATCCTGATGAGAGATGGATAGACACACCCTTGAACTTAATTATATATCCACCCCTCCTGCCTTTGCTCAAGAAGTTCGGTGTTTCCAATGCTATGATTTAACTGCAAATGTCCTTCCTCTTTCCTTCTTCAATGATCCTGATATTTTGGGGAAGCCAAGTGTTATCTGAGTGTTAAAGCTCAATTATTAATCCTTTCTCAGACTTCCAGGAT